AGAATTACGTTCGTACGAGTTGGACGGAGTCGGCTGACGGGCGATGGACCCCGTCCACGTGTACGGGACGACGGCACTTCCCTCGTTCCTCACACGGACCCTTTTCCAGAGCATGTGATGGCGGCGCATGCAATGTGTTGCCGACAACGTCGATGATGATTCAATGCGATCGGTTTGAATTCTTGATATTCGCAAACAGGTTGCGCCGTCCATTCGATGGGAGCAGTCCCCGATGATGTGTCGTTGTACCCGTGTGGTCAAGTCGAATGCTCAACTTGCCCACTCCCCCCGCTGTGGCGATCGGATGCCCTTGGTGCCCCCCGACCAGCTCGGCAGGCAGTACCGTTCGCCCGTTTGTTCGGTACTGTGAGCTATACACTTCACCGGATGACGGCGTTTGGCACCAGCGTCCGTGCACGGTTGTTTCTCTGCACGAACATCGTCGCCGCCTTCGGAGGTTCCATCGACAGGCACGACGGGATCTTTGCCAACAACACTGCCAGCTAGACTTGACGGCCACCACGTCGTGGCAAACTCATCCCGTCGACGCGCGGCACGGTCTGTATTGATCGAGCAACGCCGCTCTCGACCCAGCTCTCGACATCCCATCGTCCCCTCGAAGCGTTTGCCGCCGTAATTAGGTCATCCGATTGCAATCGATCGGCTGTCGACGTGGCATGCACGATGCCACTGCGCCACCGCCCACGCGTTTATTGATCCCAAAGACTCGTTCGGAAGCTTCAAAGAAACCCCACAGTCACCGATTCGGGACCACCTGAACGACGGATCCTTGTCTGGGATCCTTCGCACCACTTGGTACCAACCAACCCCACAGAACAGTCCTGCAGAGTCGCGGTACGAGTCGCTCCTCATGCGGCTCTGATGGTAGCGCCACCCAAACGCGATGTCCCATGATGGATCTGCGCGAGCAACCCAGGGGCGCGAGCACCGTTCGCCAAGGAGCGCCTCGACGCCAGGCTCATGCAGGACGGTAGCAGCCCTGCACGAGCCTGGCGTTGAGGCGCTCCTCGTAGAATTCGCAACTTTCATCCAACGGACATGGTCTCTCAGGATTAAAGTACAGATTGCACATTTCGGTTAGTGGCGGCAACCAAATCCAACTCGAACTTCAATTAAGCCCATGCCCCGACGATGGCCATGGCGGCCGCACCGAGCCACAAGCACATGTAGTTGAGCGATCGCGTACCCCCCGACTTGCTGTGAAACTCGCTGTTGATCGTGTACTGGTACGTGAGCAGCTCGACGATCCCCGTGTAGACCAAGATGCCGCCCGCCACCGAGTCCAGCACGCCGCGGACCCACAGCGACGCCGTCGACGTTTCGCTGTACGAGCTGTGGATGGCGATCCCAACGGCAATGCCCAACGGCGTCGTCAGCGAATACGCGATCGCAGTCAACAAGGACGTGCGGAAGTTGGAGAACGCCGACACGGCCGACGTCCCGACCGCCACGCCTTCGAAGAACTGGTGGAAGCAGATCGCAATGAGCAGCGTGACAAAGCCCGTGCCGGTCGCAACGCCCAAGTTGAGCCCGATGATGACCGAGTGGATCGCGACGCCGATCTCAAAGATGAGCACGTTGATCTTCTTCCGCGTGTCGCTGTTCTTGAGGTCGCCGCCGTGGCTGTGGCTGTG